ACATTTCGTTTCTTATGCTACTCAAAATTTCTGAACGTCAGTCTTTTACCGGGTGTCATTTGATTGTAGATCTTTTTGTTGTAAAAATTTGTCACATCGAAATGTCAGATCATTTCCATCTACCATTTATAGGCGCAGTGTTTATTATTCTGACTCGCTTTATTTGAAACGAACAGTGTAATTGTTAAATGGACGGAATAGTAGCATTCTCAGTAAGTAATCTGGATGTCACGAAACATCTGCGAATTTAGATGTAGCAAAACAGATTAAAAAAACACCAAATATAAAAATAGTAATTCGGTAATTATTTGTCACTCCGAGCAATAAACAATTTAATGATATTTTATATTATTTTCTTTTTAAAAACTATGACACAGTGCTGATAGCAGACACGGAAAGAAAACTACAAAAGCTCCTACAGAAGATAGAAGTAAGGACTAAACGTCAGCTGCAAGAAGACAGGATGCATGGCTATTAGCAAAAGGATGAGACCAAAATGCAAATAACATTTAAGAGGAACCTAAATAAACCAAGCAAAAAATTTGAATTTAAATCTGGAAGCTGTTCTAACAGAGGACGGAAAATGGGACACTGAATTCCGAAGATGCACTGGGATTGCCAAAGATAAATTTCAAAAGCTAAGCAGAGTATTGAGAGACAGAAAATTTCGTTAGAATCAAGGAAAAGAATACTGAAGTCTTACGTGATATCTTTCCTACTCTATGGCAGTAAATGCTGGACAATTTTCTCAAAGATGAAGAAGAGACTTGAAGTAATAGAAATGTGGTTCTACAGAAAGATGTTGAGGATAACATAGAGCAAACAAAGTTTTAGAGAAAAAAGAAACTTGTACATAACATTTTTATTGAATTACGTTGACAAACACAAAAACAAACACGCAAAAAGATCAAAATAATATAGTTAAGCAATATTAATAATCATAATAATACTATTATTATTACTATTAGTATTAATAGTAAGCAGATATACAAAATTAGAAAGGAGTGTAAGACAATAATTTGTTTTCTCACAGGACTTATTTAATCTATACAGTGGGGCAATTCTAAGAGAATCAGATGTACTATCAGGATTCAGTATTAGCATCATATATGCAGATGACACAGTGTGGATATCAGACACGGGAAGGAAACTACAAGAACATTTACAGAAAGACTTGCAAAAAGACAGAATGCATGGTTGATGCCAAAAGGATGAGTCCAAATTGCAAATCGGAGATACAAAAATCAACCAAGCACAAAAATTTAAATTTAATTCTGGGAACTGTTCTAACAGAAGACGGAAAATGCGACACTGAAATCCGAAGACGCATTGGGATTGCCAAAGGTAAATTCCGAAAGCTAAACAGAGTACTGAGAGATAGAAAAACTTCGTTAGAAAACAATACTGAACTGTTACGTGATACCTATCCTCCTGTATGGCAGTGAATGCTAAGCAATTTCCTCAAAGATGAAGGAGAGACATGAAGCAAAAGCAATGTAGTTCTACAGAAGGATACCGAGGACACTATGGACCGAACATGTGAGTCACTTCTGTGAGGAGATCGTCCATTGTCATATAGAAGGACCAATATTACGTAACAGTTCAGTAATTTTTTCTTGGGTTATTGTTAGGACAATTTAAGATGAAAATGTTGAGTACTGACTGGGAAAATTAAACATTATATTTAGGAAATTCATTTGAAACAGAGAAAAGAGCACTAAGCTGTTACGTGATATATGTCCTCCTATATGGCAGTGACTGCTGGACAATCTATTCAGAGATAAAGAAATGACCTTAAGCAACAGAAATGTAGTTCTACTAGGATGTTGTGGATAACATGGACCAAACATTTATGCAACGACGAGGTATTAGAGAAAATGGAAACAAAAAGAAAACTTATAATTAACATGAGGAAGAGACAGCTAAAATTTCTGGGGCACATAATAAGGGGGGGGATTTAGAAAATCTGTTGCTCAGAAGACAGATTGAGCACAAGAAGGACGAAGGAAAATAACACATAACATACTTGATGAGTTTGAGAAAATGGATGGTGGAACAAGGTTTAGAAATAAAGAAAACAGAATTTATTAAGAGCTGCAAAGGACAGGAAATTGTGGAGAGCTATGATCGGCTAAGTCCTGAGTGGACACGGTACACAAAGAAGAAGAAACAAACATTATGACCACTTACCTAATAAGGTGTCTGCTCTTGCCTAATCAGGTATGGTTTCTAGAAAACCTCTAAAATTCCTCTGAGATCTGGTAACAGATGCTTTAACAGATGCTCTAACAGATGCAAGTTACGTGCAGATAGAGTTCGTCCAACACATACCACTGGTGTTCAAAAGGACATATATAATGAAGTGGGTTTGCCGATTAAAGGAAAACACAGGGGACGTAAATGTTTATTACTTTGCATCTTATTGAATCTAGTATTTTGTCACTTACTCTCCGCCAGTCTGAGGTACGATCTTTGTCGCCACGGCTCCGATATGTGGCCCGTTACTTTATATTTTGACTTGTAGACAGGCATACTCGGATACGGTCGGTCAGCCATTATCTCTATTTATAGAGGATGTGTATGTGTGTGTAACGAATGCACGGCCGCAATTTTCGACGGATTTGCACCAAAATTTACACGCACATGCTCCAAGTTAGCGGGAAGGCCAAAACCGACTTTGCATTTCCCAACGATTGTAGAAATAATCGATTTTTTCATGCTTCTGCGGCAGTTTTCATGTAGTTTGCGGCCATTTTCTACTGGCCAGAGTGAGAGCCAATAGCTGGCTGCCACGAATAGGCAGGGAGATTCTATTGGCCAGCGTGAGAGCCAACAGCTGACTGACACGAATGTTAACTAGCATGCTAATATACAAAAAAAAAAAAAAAATCGATAGCTGCATTCGTCACAAGTGGGAAAAATTTAAATCTGCATGGCACTTTACTCCAATTGGCTCATTCGCTTGCTTAAACTCAACGTTGATTCTGATTCCGCAGAACTGGGTTGGGTGTGAAAAAGTATTTGTTGTTAACATTCTTTTTCATTCGGTTTTTCCAATTACGAGTTCTTTTTTAAAGCTGATCGTTTTGTATTTGTTTTGTTTAGTTCTTTTTTCGTAACAGTTTTAATGTTTAGTACAGAGCTTAGAAAAAATCGCAGTGTGAGATAGGCAAGAAGTAAGGCATGTAGCAACATCAGCACGGCAAAGGGCACTCGTTTGAAGGCAAGAAAGGGCAAAAATATTTTAAGTTAAGTGATAGCGATTGCTGTATGAGTCGTACGATTTTTGAATCAAGCACGGGCAACGCCGGGCCATGCTGCTAGTTATTTATATATAGAATCTGTCTGCGATATATAAGAGACTGCTAAGCTCCCTCCCGCAGTCAGTTGTTTATATAGCCATCTTTCCAATGGTTTATCTTTCACGCGCACATATCAGGGACCATCAGGCCCACAGGTATTTACCGCTATGGTCACCACTGACAACGGATGAAACACGGATTTCCTACCCCGGCTGGAATCATGTCAAGTTAATTCTGGATCTGGTTTCCTTTGACGGTTTTGTGTGAAGTTGAGGCCAAGCCTGTTCCGACATAATATCACGCTGAGACCCGTGGAGTTTGGTAGTCAGGGCAACAAATGAGGGCCTCTTCATGTTTCTGAAAACATTCGGTGTGATAGAGTTCATTGTCTTTTAAAAGATGCAAGTGCCATAATAGAAAACAGTTGTCACGATGCAGTTGCGTGTACCTGGTCTTTAGAGATATTGAATTAGGTAGTAGGCGTTCATGAAAGATTTCTCATTAGAAGATTCTCTAAACCATCACATTGCCTCCACCGGCTTGTTATTTCCCCACAATGCATCCTGGTGCCATAGCTTTCCCAGGGTAACAAGCCATAACCGTCCACCTAGGAGAAACTAAGACATAGCAGTCGAAGCGTATTTCTTCCATCAGAGAAGATCCACCGACAACTTAGATATTCATTAGTGCCTATTAACGAAATCAATAGATATTCATGAGCATGGGTATTCAACGAATGCTTACGAAAATCCATTAACAATAAAGATGGATGTTTAATGTGACCCACTCCTTCCTTCATCTGCAATATTTGTCACACAATTCGCGGGTATGGGTAAGAAGGATTTGAATGATTTTATCTTGTACTAAGTGAGAGAGCCTCCATGTTGAATGTAGCTTGTCAAACGATAGTGGTTTTTCTTCCTCGGTCTACAGCCAATATGCAAACTACCTGTCACACGTTTTCACATGTCACTGGTCATCTTTTGTCTGATCATAGGCTCATGGATAGGGCTGCTTGGGGGGTGGGGGAGCTGAGATAGTTAGTAACACCCTCTACTCCTTCTGTCAGTGGACAGTATTTATCCAGGTAAAAACCAAAATTACAAAATAATCGCCCCGAGCCGAATTTTTGGTAATTATATAACTGATTATGATCCTCACAAGCGGGAAAACTTCTGTTCGCTTCTTGCATCGATGTCTTGGGTGTGAGATTTTCTTCTCGGACCACAGCAATGGTAACTGTAATTAGAATTTCCTTATAAGGAAACATTTGTCATTCATCGATAGGTATTCATTTCAGTGGAACGGGAACATCTTCCATGCAATGATATTTAAAAAAATGCTCTGACCTCACTTTACGCCATAACTATTAGTTTTTTCTTGAAATAGCTCGAGAATTTCTTCTTGATAATAACTGCAACATTTAAAACATTAATATGAAATACCCCATTGACTAATTGACTTGTTTTTCTACGGCTTATCAACATTTTGCAGGTTATTTAAAGTTAGAAAATATTTTTAGAAAATTTTAAAGAAATTACTAATTAACCCATAGCTGGAGGAGAAGAGGTAGATTCATACCTTTCCCAAGGGTATTTGCGCGTAACTGAATATAACAAACCCTACTGGAATTGGAACTCGGATCTACGAGTTTCAATTTGAAACCGTTATCGATTACATCATCCACACATCCAATCTAACAGCATCTGGTATTCGCAAGTGGTCTGTCATCTAGGTACTCATCAAGCTCGACGTTGCTTATCATCGTTGATCTTACGAGAACCGGTGTTTCAACGTGATATGGCCATAAGCCTGATGTACTCCTTATATAACTCTGAACTTGATATATACATTTGTTACGAAACAATTGCTTACATTATTGCCAGATCAATATAACTTGGCTCATCAGTGTATAACATCAGTTTCTGTTATGAAAGGTAAAAAGAACTAAAATTGGTATTAATCAATTATTATTTATTAACTATAAATTATAGTGACGAGACCGGGGGGGATTTTGTGGAGTTGCTTTTTTTTTGTCCAACCCATTTCAAATGACTGCTCTATTGAACATGCATAGAAAACAAAGAGTCCTCACATAAATTTTGATTTGGGAAGGAGAAAGATTTATAAACATTCACGTGAGGTTATTAAATGTTCATAAAACAGCTGCACTTGGTGGAAGCACAATAAGATGTCAGAGTTACTAGCGGTCTCAGAAAAAAAAGAGACATTGATCTTAGTGACAGGCTCTGCAGTGGCAGTCCAGTTGCTGTTTCGGATGATTATAAAGTCAAACCAGCTGATACACGCATTACACTTGACAGAAGAAGCATTATTATAAATCCCTGTGGATGCCTTCAGGTGAACCATTATAGTGTTTGCAATTTAGCGTAGTCTTTGGACCATACACATGTTCTTGCTTGGTTTATATATATTAAGAAATGGACAAAGTCCACAATATATGGCCGTATAGGATGCAAGTTCGAATCTGTCAAAGAAATATTTTCTATGAATTTCTCGAATTCGGATGTTTATTATAAACAGAGCATTTACTTATATTCTTGATAAAAAGAACATTGAACAATTACGCAGAAAATGTGATCTTACAAAGTAGAAAAAAGTTTTTTGTGACACACACACACACACACACACACACACACACACACACACACACACACACACACACACGCAAACAATGATATATATATATATTGTTTAATATGTTTGTATTTAGTTGAAAGCTTAGATTATATTAAAAAAATATGGATCAATATTGTGAGTTTGTTTAATGATAATGTTATCAAACTTATCATGTTACTTTCCCATGTCATCCTTTGGTTACAAAGGTGACGTCGAAAACTCCTGGTCGCTCCTCCTGGGTCCAAGCGTGCCGCTCAACCCTTTGGTCAGATGATCATATATATATATATATATATATATATATATATATATATATATATATATATATATATATATATATATATATATATATATATATCCGTTACATAAGAAATTGGACCACTCCTGTGGACTATGGCAAAGTCCGACAATATACTTTCTAGAATCATAACATGTATGTATAATTCAGCTTTTCTATCGATCATCAAGTTGATTCTTCTCTCGACTTGAGTTGTATTTCTTCTTCTTCTTCTACTTGGAATCTTGTCAGAGGGTTCTTTTCTCGCTATTTTGAACTTTAAAAATTTCTCTGGACATTCAGGGCTTTCAGGCAATCTTCTTCTCTTCATCTGTTATTTAAGTTCTCCTGTTTTGGGCTGGAAACAGAGGATTTACTTAAATATGGCCCGGTATCTATAAAAAGAATGTTAAACATAAAAATGTCTTTAATATATATATAAATATGATAACGATAACTACATTTTTGTCTTATATATCGCAATTGTTTTCGCCCCTATATTGTGGGCGGCGCATATCCATGACAAAGTAGAAAAAAAGTTTTTTCTTCCGCAGACGCGTGATCGTCCTCGACCAATTGTTATTGATCGAACATTTCTTCCTTTTTCTTCATTCTCCAATTCACCAATTGTTATTGATCGAACATGTGACGTTTGCATGAGGTTATGCTTGTTTAAAAAAACAAATCCAATTTGATTTTTGGCTTTCTAGCAAACAGTCTTAGTCTTGATTTAGAAAGGATCTTTTCCGTTCTTGGCGCCCCTATCGTTGCTTTAGTTTTTCCTGATCAATTGAAATGTCCTATTTAAACAATGAACAGACTATCATCACTGTCGTGTCCCCAAAGTATATTGTTGATTAAAATGTTTCATTGTAAAATTTACATCTTTGATAATGGTGTCTTTCCATGCAAAAGTAAGCCCGACATTCTTTATCAAAATGATTATATTAAAAAAATATGGATCGTCTATATTGTGAATTTTTTTTCTTCGTTTAAAAAAAAAAAATTAACAACCTGTTTAATAAACTGTTTAAATCAAACTTAATATTTCAATAATGTTACGAACAAATTTTACATAAAATAAATAGACAACACTTCTATATTTATTTAATGAAACGTGTATAAATGAAAATATGCTGCCTAAATACACACAATATATATATATATATATATATATATATATATATATATATATATATATTTATATATATTTTGCAACATTTCTTTAAAATATCTTTCATTGAATACGGGCAACAAAAAAGATTGAATTAATCTTTGAAGTTTTTCCAGCATCCTAACACTTGTCGTGTTGTAGGAATAATTAATAACTGTTCATAATCTTTATTGTTCCAAGCGCTTTGACCATTTCTATAGTTATTTTCAAGGTTTTTTTTGTTGTTGTTGTTGATTCTTACCTTTACCAAGGGTATTTGCGCGTAAGTGGACATAAAAAACGCAAGCAGTAACCGATCTAATTACTGACCAGGCTAGAAGTTGCTTAACTTCGGTGATTGTACGGGAACCGGTGGTTCAACGTGATGTCACCGCAAGCCCAACACACACACACACACACACACACACACACACACACACACACACACACACACACACACACACACACAAATTAATGTATATTTGGGCAGCAACCTTTCTTTCAAACATCTTTCATTAAATACGGCCGACAAAGAAGATCTAATTAGTTATTTTTTATTAAGTTTATCCAGCTTAAGCAAAAACGTCGACCATATGACCACAATAGTAACAGCTACAAGTACGCAAGAGCAGAATGCAGACGGACAAACCTAAAGATATGTTATCACGAAAGTGTGGATAATGTTTTCCTTACCATCGTGTGTGTATATATATATATATATATATATATATATATATATATCTTTCATTGAATATGGCCAACAAGGAAGATCGAATTAATTTTTTTATAAAGTTTTTCGAGCATCCTAACATTTTGTAGGAGTTAAGGAATATAAAGATTGTTCATAATTTTTATTGTTCCAAGCGCTTTTGGCCACTTTTATAGGCATTTTCAATGGTGTTTTGTCTCTGATGCTGTTATTTATTTCTCATATTTTGACTGTTGCGTTGTAAATTATGTTTATGTTGTTTTTCTGAAAAAGGAGCTGCGCGCGACTGGAATTCTTCTAACCTATGTTGTAAATTTATAACAAACTTATGTTGTTTTTCTGAAAAATAAAATTCATAGATCAAACAATAATAAACAATAATTTTCCCAACATTATTAAATCAAACAATAATCTTTTTTATAAAACACAGATTGTTTTGTGTTTGTGTGTGTGTTCGTTTATATATCGGATTTCCTTTTTCAACTGATTTCAACAAAACTTCACAGGACTACATTTTCAAACCTAATAGATTTCAAAAATCAAAAACTTCTGTCGCCAGAATGAAAGGGGACAACTTTCGAGTTATACAGGTTGTTTGTGTGTGTGTGTGTGTTCTTTATTGTCTTGGATTTCCCACATTTTTTTTTCAACAAAACTTATTTTTTTTGGCAGGTAGTGTTTTATTGTCTTTTTTTTCTTTAACATTCCATTTTTACAAGACAATTGTTTATAATAAAATGCTATTCAATCGATAGACTCATAACGATTGAAAACAATGTTTTTGTTTGAGTTTGGGTTCGACCAATTCGTAAAAAAAATAAATAAAAAAAATAATTAAGACATGCGTGTCCGTCAACCTTAAACAATAATCTTTGTCAATTTTATTTTTCAGTTTTCATGATGGTCGATACTTGATCTATCTCTTATTGTTACATCCAAGGGCAACGCCAGGCTCTACTGCTAGTAAACAATAATTTTCCCAACATTATTAAATCAAACAATAATAAACAAAAATTTCCCAAAATTATTAAATCAAACAATAATAAACAATAATTTTCACAACATTATTAATGAACAAATAAAATTATCTGTCTATATTTCTGAGATGAGGTATTGTAATTATTTACATTATTTACATTGTTCGGACTGTTGTCCTCATCTTTATTGTCATGTTAACGACGTTTCGGCCGTTGTCAGTTCAATACCTGGCTACAGTAGTAGTGAACAAAAACTTGGAGAGTTGAGTTAAAGGGAGATAACTGAGACATCCGGAAGAGGCGTGGCACGTGGAACTAGAACAATATACCCCGGTGGACGAAATAAAAGGTTCAATTCCAATTTCCAGTCACCTGAAGAAGGCCGGAAACGTCGTGCACATGACAATAAAGTTGAGGACAACAGCCCGAACAATGTAAATAAATAAAATTATTCTTACAAAAAATACACAACACCAGTAATAAAAATATCACACACACAAAAAACATTAACATATTTTACTGTAACCAGATTCACAATAATTATTAGGTTGGTGCAAAAATAATGACGTAATAATGTCGTTTTTTTGACCTTAAAAATACGTCAAAAACGACATTACGTCATTATTTTTGCACCAACCTAATATAAATAGGATAAATTCGCTATACGAAGAATTATTAAACACCATATTTCTGCCGTAATCCTCGAAAAACATGTAAAATTTATATATATATATATATATATATATATATATATATATATATATATATATATATAATGGAAGACCACAAAAACTTGTGGGCGCTAATCAAAATACCCCCATTAGACGTAAACTAGCGATGACCAATATAGTGTATAAATTCAAATACATACACACAACAATCCATTTCCACTTAACAGTAAATATAATTCTTCCTTGATAATGGCTAAAAGTATAGCCGAAAGCGCTTGGAAAAATAGAAACATTGGGACAGTTTTTGTATAATTTATCTAGGGAAAAGAAAAAATTATAAGATCATATGGTAAATCATATAAAAAACTTAATTAAAGCACCTT